CTAAATTGAAAATATAATGCATCATCCAACTGAACAGGCGAAAGTCAGTGGAAGAAGACCCAAACTTTAGGTTTCTGGCATGTTTACATAAACGTTTAAGTTAATTTCTTTTTTTTTCACCGAAAGCAATGGTGGCCATCTTGGATTTGGTGCCATAGCAGGCATTCGAAAATTCTACCTTTGATAAATTTAATGTTAATGCGCTATGAAACCAAAAAAAAAAATACTAAAAAAATTCGGGCACATTCATTTTTTATGGCACCTATTAGCAAGGACAGGAGTATATGGATTTATGAAAGAAGCAGCAAGGTTAGTCACCGGTTTATATTTAAGTATATTCTGTATTTAAGAACTCCTTGCTGAAAATTTCAAAGGAGTTAAACTAATATTATGGCTATGACGCCATTCTTCATATTGCCAACGCCGGGATTAAAAATAATTGGTTTAAAAGGGAAAAACCCGGAATTTGGGGAACAACACTCACGAATTATGATCTGGTGACCTGCCACTTGGAAGAAGTCTACCTTTTCCCATAATATTTGGGTTCAAAGCTCCTGGGGTTCTAAATCTGTTACAATAGGTTTAAGATGGAAAATATGGAGCATTTCTTTTAACTGTCATGGATCAGATGTATCAGATATTTTCAGCGATAACGTAATCGAAATCTGAAAACATAATTCAGACATTTGAACCCAATCCATTTCGGCTGAGGCTCGTTCTTGTGCATAAAATTACATGGAAATCGAATAGTCTTTACCCGACCTGAAATGTCTGAATGATTATTTCCCTAGTGAATACGATTTAACAAGATTCAAAGAAAACTTATTGGCATATATCCTATTTTACTGTCCTCCCTTTGACCTACAGGTGGCTCCTAGAAACTTGTCAAATTTTGCAGGAAAAGGAAAATAATTCTTTTTGTATAGTTTACCTTGCTGAGTTACTGGTATTGGGTCATTAATTGGCTGTTCAACATGCCACTCAAAGTGATTCTTTCTGAGGCGGAAATAGGAGTGGTGTCCTCGTTGTCTGTGATTTGATATGCTTTATGTTTACTGTGTAACACAAGGAATGGGTCAATTGGCATTTCTAAGGTTTCCTCTCCTATTTAATCTTAGTTTCGAACTTCTTCATATTCCTTCTACGGGTTTGAGTCGGGGTAGGAAGGAAATTTATTTCATGTCGATGTCCTTAAATTTACACTCTCTTAAGCGTATACACTTCTACAGTTTTCTATACGAGGCGTTAGATATGTGTATTTTGTTTTCACGTAGTTTCCTGCACAACATTCTCACTATCCTTCTTTATATAGTTGGGTTAACTCCCCTAATTAGGTTATTGTCGCATTAGCATCACCTCCTATTTCTCAGGCGGCTTTCCTTACGCTGTTGTCTATACGCTGCTTATCTTGGATATGTAAAATAAGGCACCGCCCACATTCACTCGTGTGGGTTTGGGATTGATTAGATGAAGTCGTCCATGAAGCTCCAGTTTTCAGTCCTTCTGGATGATCATCAGTTGTCAGTCAGGCGGGTAGGGCAGCTCCTTCACATTGCCGAGTATTAATTCAAGTGTTAGCAGTTCTCCTCCTTAATGAGATCCAAAGATAGACTAACCAAATGGAAACTGTTGATATATACTGTAGTTCACGACACAGTGTAACAAGGAATGAATGCAGTTGTTGTATGAATGAACACAATTTAATATCTTCAGATTATAAGTACTGGTGGGTTGTATTTTAAGTAAATCACAGGAGGACGAACACATGAGTGTCATCAGAAAATACAGTGATGCACTGAGCACCGTTTTCTGCCCCATCTTTGGATATCGTCAAACCCAAATAGATTTCTTGTGGAATGGGTTGAGAGCCGGTGATTACCAGTCTGTGTTTAAATGCCTTCTGTGACTCCGGTAGCTGCAGTGCTCAACTACGAGGTCATCATATATGATATTGAAGAGCTGTACCTTATTTTTTGTTTCTGATAAAACTATTTGCATAGTCTATATACTATGTTTGTTGGTTTTCCCCACGATTAAAATAAAACTCGTAGATTACACTGTATAACTATATATTGGTAGTCCTTTTTAAGGTGGTGTCACTGTGGCAGTGATGGGTCACTGTGTGGGTGCTTGGTCGAGGCTAGTTAGGGCGGCAGTGCAGTCTAGAACTAGTAGGTAAAGGGATGCATTTTCCTCAAATTTTCTCACCATACGAAATGCAAATTTACAGAAGATATTATACATGTTCGTAAGACCTTATACTGAGATACATTACAATCACCCCATGTTATAATGTAATGCTGTGCTTTAATAACTACAGTAAGGTCTTGTAGTCTGTATTTTAGGTTAGTAAACATACTAGTCGTCAACAATTAAAACTCAAGTGATATATATTTTGTTCTTAGTGAAAATTCAATAATACAACTCCGACCCCACACCCTCCTTCTATTCCACTTTAAAACAAATGCACCGGTAGTGTGATGGTACAGCTTACAGACGTTCACACATGCACCGGTAGTGTGATGGTACAGCTTACAGACGTTCACACATGCACCAGTAGTGTGATGGTACAGCTTACAGACGTTCACACATGCACCGGTAGTGTGATGGTACAGCTTACAGACGTTCACAATACGCACCGGTAGTGTGATGGTACAGCTTACAGACGTTCACATTACGCACCAGCAGTGATGGTACAGCTTACAGACGTTCACACATGCACCAGTAGTGGATGGTACAGCTTACAGATCGCCCTCACACATGCACCGGTAGTGTGATGGTACAGCTTACAGACGTTCACATTACGCACCAGTAGTGTGATGGTACAGCTACAGACGTTCACACATGCACCCAGTAGTGACGGTACAGCTTACAGACGTGTCTGCCACATGCACCGGTAGTGTGATATACAGCTTACGGTGACGTCTGCCATTACGCACCGGTAGTGTGATGGTATTGCTTACAGACGTTCACATGCAATCTGCAGTGTGATATACAGTTTACAGACGTTCACACATGCACACCCAGTAGTGTGATGGTACAGCTACAGACGTTCACACATGCACCGGTAGTGTAATGCGCAGCTTCGCCAGACGTTCACACATGCACCGGTAGTGTGATGGTACAGCTTACAGACGTTCACACATGCACCAGTAGTGTGATGGTACAGCTTACAGACGTTCACATTACGCACCGGTAGTAATGGTACAGCTATATGGTGCATCGTTCACATGCACCGGTAGTGTGATGGTACAGCTTACAGACGTTCACACATGCACCAGTAGTGTGATGGTACAGCTTACAGACGTTCACACATGCACCGGTAGTGTGATGGTACAGCTTACAGACGTTCACACTTTCACCAGTAGTGTGATGGTACAGCTTACAGACGTTCACACATGCACCAGTAGTGTGATGGTACAGCTTACAGACGTTCACACATGCACCAGTAGTGTGATGGTACAGCTTACAGACGTTCACACATGCACCGGTAGTGTGATGGTACAGCTTACAGACGTTCACACATGCACCAGTAGTGTGATGGTACAGCTTACAGACGTTCGGCTACGCACCGGTAGTGTGATGGTACAGCTTACAGACGTTCACACATGCACCAGTAGTGTGATGGTACAGCTTACAGACGTTCACACATGCACCGGTAGTGTGATGGTACAGCTTACAGACGTTCACACATGCACCAGTAGTGTGATGGTAACAGCTTTTTACAGACGTTCACATTACGCAACGGTAGTGTGATGGTACAGCTTACAGACGTTCCTCACACATGCACCCAGTAGTGCATGCAGCAGCTTACAGACGTTCACACATGCACCAGTAGTGTGATGGTACAGCTTACAGACGTTCACACACGCACCAGTAGTGTGATGGTACAGCTTACAGATCGTTCACACATGCACCAGGTAGTGTGATGGTACAGCTTAGAGACGTTCACACTTTCACCAGTGGATGGTACAGCTTACAGACGTTCACTTTCACCAGTAGTGTGATGGTACAGCTTACAGACGTTCACACATGCACCAGTAGTGTGATGGTACAGCTTACAGACGTTCACACTTTCACCAGTAGTGTGATGGTACAGCTTACAGACGTTCACACATGCACCGGTAGTGTGATGGTACAGCTTACAGACGTTCACACATGCACCAGTAGTGTGATGGTACAGCTTACAGACGTTCACACTTTCACCAGTAGTGTGATGGTACAGCTTACAGACGTTCACACTTTCACCAGTAGTGTGATGGTACAGCTTACAGACGTTCACACTTTCACCGGTAGTGTGATGGTACAGCTTACAGACGTTCACACATGCACCGGTAGTGTGGTGGTACAGCTTACAGACGTTCACACTTGCACCAGTTGTCAAGCGTTCACACAGTCAAAGATTACTACAAAATAATATTGATGAATGTTTGGGAATTCTGAGAATAAAGAAGGTGTGTAGTTGTGTGTGAGACATCGACAACCTCATAACCCTCCACCCAGCAGCCATTCAGGAGACACCATGACTCACCGTGATAAGATTTTCTCAGGAGTTTTCCATGACCCTGGCAGACTTACCTAGTACAGTATTAGTCTAGTTCTCGGTTAGTAGTAGTAGTTGCAGTAGTAATGCGTAAAAGTTATAAATCCGATAGGAGAAAGCGAACTGAAAGAGGTGTTAAGAGAGAGTATAAAAATATTGTAGCCTATTTTCCACAAAATTTGACCAAAACCTTACCAATGGACAGAAACAAATTACAGCATTATCCTTTGCCCTTTAAAATGGAGATACAAGGTGGAAATACACAAGTGCGGTGTTTTTATTCAGCAAAAACATTTATGTAAAAAAAGCCGCGTCTGCATCCAGGGGGAACCAGTGAGGTTTTAGATAACTTGCTTAAACCCTTACTCTATCATATCGTAGGATAAAGTTTTAAACAACTTATTAAGATATCTATCTTTCTTTGACATATTAAGATGAGGATTTGGAGTGTAAGTAAAGTAACCCTATTTGTTGTTGCAGAGTGTATGTGGGCGGTATGAGTGTGCCGCGCCTCAAACTTCGTGACGCCCAAGACCCGCTGTCGCTGTCCACCCACCCTGCACGCTCCCCACCACTCACCACGCTCGAGAACTCCCAGCCTGCCATGGCTAACACCACTCCTGCTCGCAGCAACAGACCAACAAAATCACGATCTACAGCACAGTCAATAACAGTAGACCCGGCAGCAACACAACCAACCACGAGGCAACCAGTGACAAGGCAGCTGACGCCTACTCTTCCAGCGCCTACTCATCCGACGTCTTCTCATCCGACACCTACCCATCCAACGTCTTCTCTTCCAGCACCTACTCATCCGACGTCTTCTCATCCGACATCTTCTCATCCAACGCCTACTCATCCGACGTCTACTCTTCCAGCGCCTACTCATCCGACGTCTTCTCATCCGACATCTTCTCATCCGACGCCTACTCATCCGACACCTACTCATCCGACGTCTTCTCATCCAACGCCTACTCATCCGACGCCTACTCATCCGACACCTACTTATCCGACGTCTTCTCATCCAACGCCTACTCATCCAACGCCTACTCATCCGACGTCTTCTCATCCAACGCCTACTCATCCAACGTCTTTTCATCCGACGTCTTCTCATCCAACGCCTACTCCTCCGACGTCTTCTCATCCGACGCTTCCTCACCCAACTCCTCCTCATCTGACATCTAATCATCCGACCTCTACGCATCCGACGATTACTCACCCAGCTCCTCGTCCGACATCTAATCATCTGACCTCTACTCATCCGACGTCTACTCATCCAACTCATCCTCATCCGACACCTAATCATCCGAAGTCTACTTACCTAACCCCTTCTTATCCATCGCCTGCTCACGCAGCGAGTACCCAGTCAACAACAACTCAGCCAGTGACTTCTCAGCTCACAGGATCACATCCCTCTGTGACTGAGAGTGGACGTCGGGAGAGTGAACCCATACCCAAGAAAAGGCGGCTTTTGGAAGCTACAGAGAGTGCAGAAACACATAACATGACAAAGACGGGTAGTCAACAAGAAGACTCAGAAGATATCCTGGCTCGGGTGTGCTCAGCTGTGGGGATCGACTCTGATCTCGTAGAGAGCGTTGTTGATGACCCACCACTTAATCACCAGTCGGAGGTTGTGAGCAGCCCACACGGCGCCCCTTACAGTCTTCAATACTTGCGAGGGGTACGACCGCCCCATCCAGGCATGCCATTTGCCCATAGGCTGAGACGTCCTGAGTTAAGGCTTCACCACGGAATGCACCCCTCCTACCGCCCAGCTCCTGATGACTCCTACGCGGTTGCCGAGGTTCGACATTATTACCACCAGTACACACCCCGCCCTCACGACCCTGCCTACCAAGTCTCTCATCGTGTAGCCATACACCCGGGAGAACCACATCATTACCGTCACTTCCCTCACTACCCAAACAGGTATCATTACGTAGGACCTGTTGGATCTGTGTCCCCACCCATAACTAGACCACCGATTTTGCTTCCAGGGCCACCATCACGACCAACTGGCCACCACGTCCCACTGCCACATGGCTCCCCTAATGGTGTTCACCACCAAGCTGACCTCCGTACTTACCCTCCCCCGGCACTGCATCACTCTCCTCCAGGACCACCTGTCTTACATCATAACCCACGCCTCGTACCACCAGACGGCCGTGCTCCACCTCACGCACTGCCTGATGTACACCACACACGCTCGGGACATACAGAGATTCCGTACAGAATTCCTACTTCTCTTCACGACTCACCCACAGTGCCTTCACCGTCCTCTGAGCAGTCAGCTGGGGTAGTCACAAGTCGACCTTTCACTAGTCAAGTCTCAGTTAGGCCTGACTTACCTGGTCGCTTGAACCAGCGACAACATGCAGGTATACGACAAGTATACATCCCCGCCAATTCTGTCAACGTCCACCATCATGAAGATTCTCTCTACCATCATCATGGCCACGGTCAGTACCGTCATGTACACCCCCAAGGATCAAATGATTCTCGGCCAAACCCTGCGAAGAATGTTGTCTGGCATGAGCCTACATCTCTTCAAGTTCCCATCATACCTTCGCCTGTATCGCCAGAGGATAGACTTGGAACTTCTGCCCCAGTTAGATCCCCCTACCCACCCGAGCAGCTAAAAAGCTATGAGCAAATCTGGGGTGTAAAACGCCTTTCTGGTGGCTTGGGAGAATCCCCCGAGTCTATACAAACGCGTCGGCTTATAGAACCCCCTAAACCTTGTGTAGAACTCATTCCCATAGGGCCATCGGTCGACACAAGAGAGAAAAAATCTGTTGAGTCTTCCAGTAATGTGACACAGAAGCAACACAGTGTGGTATCTGACTCACGTCAACAAAGAATGGAAAAAAACAGTTCACAACACACTCGGCCACATACTGTTTCACCTCGGGAGAAATCCATAATTGGTGATGACCAGCAAGGGCTTTCAGCTTCTGAAGGACAATTTATTCATTGGCAAAATCTTGCAACATCGGTGACAGAGGCAGCATCCCGTCATGATAGTTGTCGTCAACGTCAGTCAACAGGGAATCCAGAATTGCCTTTATCACAAGACTATCCTCCTTCCTTCCGGCGTTGCCTTTCTTTAGATACGTCACCTCATCGTCCATTACCAAGCACCTCCACTGAAGGAGAATCATCTATTTCTGGAACACAGAAAGGAAGAGGACACAGTAGGTCCAAAAGTGATACTTCCGTCACTCCGTCAAAATCATATAATAATAGCGATGAATCCGCTGAAAGGAGCGACGACTTATCTAATACACGTACATGCCCTTCTGATATTAGTGATACAGAGATACAAAGTCCCTCATCCCAGAAAGATAACCAAAGAACTTCTCAAAATCAGTCTAAGACAGACAGTGCAAAGACCGGCGAAAGGCAGACACTTACTCAGGAAGATGATATAACTTTGGAAAAGGCTATTTACTCTGCTGAACAAAGTGGAGATGTTAAGCAGAATACACATCGTGACGGAGGAAGTGAAGGATCATGTCACAGCACAATGTCGGAGAAAGCAGACACTCATTCTGTGGGTCCGGGCCAACTTCACCACCTCCACAGTTCTCGCTATGTTAACCACCACAGACCAGCCTCTGAACCACCCCTACAGCTGGTATCGACAGTCTGTAACGCTGTATCACGACCAGCTTCCTTGCCTGGTGCTAACCAAAATATCCAAAGCGGCTCAACCAATATCAAATGCCAAAATAGCAGGGCGTACTCCATGTCTCAGCATGACAAATATCTAATTCAGACCAAGAGTGACAACGATGAAACCTTCATGGAACGTCTGAAACTGGTGCTGAATGATCTTGTGTCCGTCCCTGAAGCATCCAAGCTACAGCAACTGTCGCAGTCTCCCGAGCAGCTACTGACTTCTGTAGTGAAGAGAGGCGGGGCACATCCCTCCAAGGACCCGAACCCAAAGCAGCGACTGAGAGAAGACTTCAAGACGGTGGTGAAAATGTGTCTGCCAGCATATCTACTGCAGGACTGGGGATGGAACTCCTGCACCCCAGACCAAATACTTGATCAACTCATTAAAGTCACCCACAATGGTATGGTCAAAGTCCTCCATGTTATAGTCAGTCAGTCACCTTACAGTGTTATAGTCAGTCAGTCACATACAGTGTTATAGTCAGTCAGTCACCTACAGTGTCATAGTCAGTCGGTCACCTACAGTGTTATAGTCAGTCAGTCACCTACAGTGATATAATCAGTCAGTCACCTACAGTGTTATAGTCAGTCAGTCACCTACAGTGTTATAGTCAGTCGGTCACCTACAGTGTTATAGTCAGTCGGTCACCCACAATGTTATAGTCAGTCAGTCACCTACAGTGTTAGAGTCAGTCACCACCGCCAGTGTTATAGTCAAATAGTCACCTACAGTGTTATAGCTCAGTCAGTCACCTACAGTGTTATAGTCAGTCGGTCACCTACAGTGTTATAGCTCGGTCGGTCACCCAATGTTATAGTCAGTCAGTCACCTACAGTGTTATAGCCGTCAGTCACCTACAGTAAGAGTAGGGGTCAGTCAGTCACCTACAGTGTTATAGTCAGTCAGTCACCTACAGTGTTATAGTCAGTCAGTCACCCACATATAGTCAGTCAGCCTACAGTGTTATAGTCAGTCGGTCACCTACAGTGCTGCACTGGGGTCAGTCACCTACAGTGTTATAGTCAGTCAGTCACCTACAATGTATAGTCAGTCAGTCACCTACAGTGTTATAGTCAGCCTGGCCCACCTACAGCAAGTTATAGTCAGTCAGTCACCTACAGTAGCTATAGTCAGTCGGTCACCTACAGTGTTATAGTCAGTCGGTCACCTACAGTATTATAGTCAGTCAGTCACCTACAGTGTTATTATAGTCAGTCAGTCACCTACAATGTGTTATAGGCTGTCAGTCACCTACAGGCTATTATAGTCAGTCAGTCACCTACAGTGTTATAGTCAGTCAGTCACCTACAGTGTTATAGTCAGTCAGTCACCTACAGTGTTATAGTCAGCCGCCACCAAGCAGTGTTATAGTCAATCAGTCACCACAGCGCTATAGTCATCAGTCAGTCACCTACAGTGTTATAGCCAGTCAGTCACCTACAGGTTATAGTCAGTCAGTCACCACATGTTATAGTTAGTCCGTCACCTACAGTGTTATAATCAGTCAGTCACCTACAGTGTATTAAATAGTCAGTCACCTACAGTGTTATAGTCAGTCAGTCACCTACAGTATTATAGTCAGTCAGTCACCTACAGTGTTATAGTCAGTCAGCCACCTACAGTGTTATAGTTAGTCAGTCACCTACAATGTTATAGTCAGTCAGTCACCTACCATGTTATAGTCAGTCAGTCACCTACAGTGTTATAGTCAGTCAGTCACCTAAAGTCTTATAGTCAGTCACCTACAGTCTTATAGTCAGTCAGTCATCAAGAGACTTAAAGTCAGTCAGTCACCAACAGAGTTATAGTCAGTCACTCACCTACAGTGTTATAGTCAGTCAGTCACCTACAGTGTTATAGTCAGTCAGTCACCTACAGAACAAAGCTTCAGTCACCCGGCAGCAGTCAGTCACCTGCAGTGTTATTATATCAGTCAACACCTGCAAAAGAGAAGCCAGTCAGTCACCTACAGTGTTATAGGGGTCAGTCAGTCACCTACAGTGTTATAGCCAGTCATTCACCTACATTGTTATAGTCAGTCAGTCACCTACAGTGTTATAGTCAGTCATTCACCTACAGTGTTATAGTCAGTCATTCACCTACAGTGTTATAGTCAGTCAGTTACCTACAGTGTTATAGTCAGTCAGTCACCTACAGTGTTATAGTCAGTCAGTCACCTACAGTGTTATAGTCAGTCAGTTACCTACAGTGTTATAGTCAGTCACCTATAGTGTTATAGTCAGTCAGTCACCTACAGTGTTATATATAGTCAGTCAGTTACCTACAGTGTTATAGTCAGTCAGTCACCTACAGTGTTATAGTCAGTCATTCACCTACAGTGTAATAGTCAGTCCCTACAGTGTTATAGTCAGTCAGACACCTACAGTGTTATAGTCAGTCATTCACCTACAGTGTTATAGTCAGTCACCTACAGTGTTATAGTCAGTCAGTCACCTACAGTGTTATAGTCAGTCACCTACAGTGTTATAGTCACCTACAGTGTTATAGTCAGTCAGTTCCTACACAGTGTTATAGCCAATACCTACAGTGTTATAATCAATCACCTCCTGTTTTATAGTCAATCACCTGCAGTGTTATAGTCAGTCACCTACAGTGCTATAGTCAGTCAGTCACCTACAGTGTTATAGTTAGTCAGTCACCTACAGTGTTATAGTCAGTCAGTCACCTACAGTGTTATAGTCATTTACCTACATTATTATAGTCAGTCAGTCACCTACAGTGTTATAGTCAGTTAGTCACCTATAGTGTTATAGTCAGTCAGTCACCTACAATGTTATAGTCAGTCACCTACAGTGTTATAGTCAGTCAGTTACCTACAGTGTTATAGTCAGTCACCTACAGTGTTATAGTCAGTCAGTTACCTACAGTGAGTCAGTCACCTGCAGTGTTATAGTCAGTCAGTCACCTACAGTTTTATAGTGAGTCACCTAAAGTTTTATAGTCAATCAGTTACCTACAGTGTTATAGTGAGTCACCTGCAGTGTTATAGTCAGTCAGTCACCTACAGTTTTATAGTGAGTCACCTACAGTGTTATAGTCAGTCAGTTACCTACAGTGTTATAGTGAGTCAGTCACCTGTAGTGTTATATTTTGTCAGTCACCTACAGTGATATAAATATAACAATATTGTCTTGTGTACTTTGAAATGCGCCACAATCTACTTATTTGGTAAAACCTGTAAACTAGCCGGCAATTCATGTAGTCATGAACTTTACAGTCGATCGCCTAACAATAATACTCTATCGTCTTATTACTGCAAATTCCTCCTAAACGACACGAAAATATAGAAGAAGAAAACGTTTTATGAGTTGCAGTTCAATGTGTTTATGACGGCCGTCGCTATGCGGCTGTTAAGGTCGGATTTCTGCTGTGATGGGTCTCACCTTACGCAAAATGATAATTATATACATCACCCAATTTAAGTACTAATTAATTCATTCTAAATTACTACTTATAAACACCCTAAGAACTGAGGTTTTCTTAGTTTAACATCTTGGCTGTTGTAAACTTGTCACACATTCCACCTCTTGCAGTAAACGTGGAGCTGCCTGATTTCCAAAATGATAGTTTTGTCAACCTTGTTTCTCTTTTATTTTTTTCTCTTCTTAAGAGTAATTTAATTCTCCTATGTTGGTAAACCATCCTACAGTACTTGGATATCTTGGACCGCACTGGGGAAGATTAGAGATAGGGGAGGGATCCCGATAGTATGTTGTGTCTTGCCTAGAAAAGGGGTTGGTCGTGAATGGCTGTCCAGGGCAATTGCTATAAATTGCCGACTGGAAAAACATTGTGCAAACAATGGTTGGGCATTCATTGATAACTGGCAACGATTCTATGGCAACGACTACCTGTACAGTCGCGACGGAGTACACTTGTCTCGTGAGGGGTAAAGACGTTGTCTGCATCCCTGGAGCGTGAATTTGTCACTCCGAAGGGGGGGTTTCGCCAGTAGAGAGAGGTCGGGGAAAGTGGGAGTCAAAAAACAAGCAGGTCCTGGGAAGCAAAATTAGTTGCTCAGGACAAGGGGTAAAACAGGACCAGGGAAGGGAAGGTTTAAATGTATACTATACAAACAGTAGGAGCGTTAGAAATAAAATAGACTTGCTGAGAGCGGTTGTATGTACCGAGAATGTAGACGTCATAGCAATCACCGAAACTTGGATGAATCTGGCGAGCAAAAATTTTTTATCAGAGAACCACATAGAAGGGTACAACCTTTTTCACAAGGACAGGGAAGGTAGGAAGGGGGGAGGGGTCGCACTCTTCGTCAAGGATACATTAAAATGTTGCATTAATAATTCAATGAAGGGTGAAATAGGAACCGAGTCTGTGTGGGTAGAAATCACAGAAGGAAGAGAAAAACTAATTATGGGAGTGATTTACAGGCCCCCAAGTCTTGGCAAAGAAGCAGCTCAGCCCATATGGCAGGAAATGAGTAGGGCAGCAAAATATAACAACCTATGCATTATGGGGGATTTCAACTTCAGAAATATTGACTGGGACAATATTGTAGGTGACTATGAATCTGAAGACTTCTTAGACGCAGTACAGGACAATTTTTTGAAACAACTAATTACAGAACCTACTAGAGGTGACAATATATTAGACCTAGTATTAACAAATAAAGAAAATATTATCAGAGATATCACAGTAAGGGAAGAACTAGGTAACAGTGATCACAGAGAAATCAGGTTCACCCTAAATTGGGAAACGAAAAACAATGACAATATGGTCAGAGTCCTAACTTTCGGTTGGCGGATTATCAGGGGTTAAGAAGGTACCTAGGTGAGGTCACCTGGGAACAGTCACGTCAGTCCCCAGAAGGAGGGGGTGAGGTCAAAGATGACTCAACAATTGATCATGACTATAATATATTCACTAGTATACTACATAAAGCACAAGAACAAAATATACCATACAGAAAAATTAGGTCAAATAAGAATGAGCCAAGGTGGATGACCAGAAAACTTAAACATGACATAGGAATAAAGAAAGGAATATATAAGAAATTAAAGGGAGGGTAGGAGCAGCTCAGAAATAGGTATAATGAACTATCTAGGAATGTTAAGAAAAATGTAAGGAAAGCAAAGAGAGACTATGAAATCAAAATAGCAAGAGAATCCAAGGCGAATCCCAAGGGATTTTTCCAGGTATATAGGACAAAGGTCAAGGACAAAGTTGGGCCTTTAAAGTCAGGGAGGGGAGAAGTGATAAATGGCAGTGGAGAAATAAGCAAAGCATTGAACAGCTACTTCTTATCAGTTTTCACAGAAGAAACTTGAGATGAAATTCCAGAGGTGGAACTGATATTTAAGGGAAAGGAAGAAGAGAAATTAAAGAATATCACTATCAGAAAAGAGGATGTTCTAAAGAAGA